GCTTTAAATGAGGCTTTAGGGTGGAAAACGTTTTATTTATTTATTTATTTATTTATTTATTTATTTATTTATTTATTTATTCATTCATTCATTCATTCATTCATTCATTCATTCATTCATTCATTCATTCATTCATTCATTCAATTTTTCATGCAGGTTAACATGAGTGTGGCTCAAATTAAAATGGTGAACATCAGCATGTAATCAAAGCATGTTAAATGTTTTGTGTTGCGTCAGTTTTGTCCTAATACATTATATTCAATAAAGACCTAAATGATTAACTCATTTGTGGTAGTGAAGTAATTTGGGCCATGTTTTGTACTGTTGCCTGCAGCCAAAACTCGGGGATTAATACTTCACAGTCCTGTTTAATTTGAGTTTATATTAAATACAAAGTTTCATCAGGTCATGATTACAAACGCAGTATATTTTCATAATGGTGTGAGCAGGTTGAATTATCCTGCTGGTTGTTTGGAAAGTCATGATTATATAGAAAACAGTACAGTGGCATTATTATTATTATTATTATTATTATTATTATTATTATTATTATTATTATTATTATTATTAATCTTACATGTCCGTCCCGTTCCAAGTGATTCCGGTGTTTAAAAAGTCTTTAGCTATCTTCCTCCACACAACATCCCGGTTTACAACACGGCGAATATTTCTACAAACTTGAGAGAGGCGACAGAGGGATTTGCAGTCCAAAAAAGCTAATATCTGATAGAGGACATCCTCCGGGAGCTGGGAGAGCAGCATGGTGACAGCACCGCTCGGTGTGCTCTCTAAAAACCGCGGACAAACACCGTAAACAGCTTTCCATGCTTCCCAAACACAGCAGGACCGAGAAACAGGAAGATGTTCACCGACAGCTGCTAATGACGTAAAGACGCGGGGTCACGTGGCGCTGTGCGTAGCGTCATGACGTTATCACGTAAAGAATTATTGGAATCCCTGCAAGAATTTAGGCAATTTCAGATAGGTATCTTAGGGGTTTTGATATTTTTGAGTTAATTATGGTTTTCTTAATTTTTAGAATTTCCAAAATAAATAAAAAATGAAACAACTTGTTTTTGAACACATATCAATTTTCTTTATAGGAAGCTTGCCTCGTTCCTCTCGTCATTACCTCTATTAAATGTGTGAAAAAGTCTAATTTTACTCCACATTTTAGATATAGTTTTCATTTATTAAGTTCCAATGGTGCACTTGCCTGTGTGTTAGTGTTTGTCTGTTAGCAAAATATTTCATGAACCAGTCAGCAAACCTTAATCAAACTTTCAGTAAATAACAGCTGAATGGACATCTACAGATGATTATTCTTTCTGCGTCAAGATGACAGCCACAACTATTCAACCTTAAAAAAACACAAAAACGTCTCTAACTCAGTAGATATTGAGCTAAAACGTAGTAGTCAACTGTAATTCCCAACACGTATTTTGAGCATTAAAAAATGCATGCACTAGATAATTGTTTAAAAAACTATAGCAGAAAGCAATACTGTCTGTCTGTTAGCTAAATACCTAATGAATCACTGGACAGACTTTAATTAGACATACAAATATCAGAAAATATTCCTTAGCTAAACACTTGCTCTTTAAACATGTGTTAAATTTGGGAGTCAACCATGATTTGTCTGTTTACAAAATTCTCACAAAGCAGAGGGCATTTTCATAATCGGGACTTTGAGAGTCCTTTTTTTATTATTATTATGTAACTTAGAGACTAGGGACTGGATCTGCAAATTTAATTGAAGTGTCATAAATTAATTGAACCCAAGATAGTAAGGACTCGAGAGCTTCAAGTAAACTAAAAACTGATTTGTTAATAAAATAAATGATGATGCAAGCCTACTA